TGGGTCAAATGGAATTTCTATTTCTAGGTCCTTGAGGAATCGCCACACTGTCTTCCAGAATGGTTGAACTAATTTACACTCCCACCAACAGTGTAAAGGTGCTCCTATTTCTCCACATCCTCTCCAAAGGCTATTGAGTTACCATATGACCCAGCAATTCTATTCCTAGGTATACATTCAAAAGAATTGAAAATAGGGACTCAAACAGACTTACACACCGGTGTTCATTGAAGCATTATTCACAATATTCAAAAGGTGAAAACAACCCAAGTGTCCATCAACAGATGAATGAATAAACAGAATGTGCAATACACACACACACACACACACACACACGCCCATGCCACACAGGAATATTATTCAGCCACAAGAAGGAGTTAAGTGTTGATATATGCTAAAACACAAATGAACCTTGAAAACATCATGCTAGCACAAGGACAAATATTGTATGAGTTCGCTAATATAAAATATCTAGAATAGGCATATTTATAGAGATAGACAATAGACTAGAAGTTACTAGGAGTTGGGAAACAGGAAGTTAGTGTTTGATGGTAACAGAGTTTCTGTTAGGGATAGCGAGAATGTTTTGGAACTAGAGATGATGGTTGTATAACATTAGGCATGTAATTAATGCCACTGAATTGTACACTCAATAATGGTTAAAATGGCAAATTTATGACCATAAAGATGCTTTAAAAAACTAATTGTCATAGGTTTTAACAAAAGACTTAGTAATACTCAATGTCTTATTGAATATTAGCTACAAGTTTCTCACATTGAAATGTGAAAATAATTTATACCTGGTAGAGAGATTTTCTAGTTTGAGAAAATAGGAAGTTTACAGAGAGCATCAATGATTAAAAATAGTGTACCTCAATACTATAGTAAAGTTTTAGAGTACAATTGCATTATTCTAGAAAATATCTCACAGTATCACTGAGCTGATTGTGTCATGGGGCAAAGCTGATGCAGCAACTTTTTTTTTTTAAAGAGTATTATTAAAGACTTCATTTTTTAAAGAGCAGTTTTAGGTTCACAGCAAAATTAAGAGGAAGGTACAACTTTGGGAGGCCAAGGTGGGCAGATCACCTGAGGTCAGGAATTCAAGACCAGCCTGGCCAACATGGTGAAACCCCATTTCTACTAAAAATACAAAAATTAGTTGGGTGTGGTGTCAGGCGCCTGTAACTCCAGCTACTCATGATGCTGAGGCAAGAGAATCACTTGACCCTGGGAGGTGAAGTTTGCAGTGAGCCAAGATCATGCAACTGAACTCCAGCCTGGATGACAGAGTGAGATTCCATCTCGAATAAAAAAATAAATGAAATAAAAAATAAAGACAGGGACAGAGATTTCCCATATATCCCCTGCACCACACATACACAGCCTCCCCCATTATCAACATGCCCCATCAGCCCAGAATGATACACCTGTTACAACCGATGAACCTGCATTAACACATCATAACCATCCAAAGTCCATAGTTTACTTTAGGGTTCACTTTTTGGGTTGTATATTCTATGAGTTTGTACTATGTCTAATGACATGCATCCACCATTGTGGTATCATACAGAGAATTTTCATTGCCCTAAGAATCTTCTACAACCTCTTCCTTCCCTCCCTGTAACACCTGGCAACCACTGTTCTTTTTACTGTCTCTATAGTTTTATCTTTTCCAGAATGTCATATCGTTGGGATCATACAGTATGGTAGCCTTTTCAGATTGGCATCTTTCACTTAGTAATATGACTTTACGTTTCCTCCATGTCTTTTAATGGCTTGATGGCTAATTTATTTTTAGTACTGAATAATATTCCATTGTGTGAGTGTACCAGTCTATCCATTCACCTACTAAGGACTTCTTAGTTGCTTCCAAGTTTTGGCAATTAAGAATAAAGTTGTTATAAATATCCATGGACAGGTTTTTATGTGTACATAAGTTTTCAACTAAGGAGTGTGATTTCTGGATCATAGGGTAAAAATATGTTTAGTTTTGTAAGAAACTGTCAAACTGCCTTCCACAGTGGCCACACCATTCTGCATTCCCACCAGGAATGAATGAGAGCTCCTGTTGTTCTGCTTCCCTGCCAGCATGTAGTGTTGTCAGTGCTCTGGATCTGGGCCATTCTAGTAGATGTGCAGTGGCAAATCACTCATTGTTGTTTTAATTTGCATTTCTGGAGTGAGTCCTTAAGTTCCAACGTGAAGTGGCAGGTGTTGGAAAGGGGCAAGACACCAGACTCAGGGTCAGAAAACAATGTGCTTCTTGGCCTGATACTTATCCACTGTAAAGTTTCAGAAAAGACACACAATTTTGTTAGCATCAGTCTTCTCATATGTAAAATGGGGAAAGCAATTGTATATATTTTTAAAATTCAGTGATAGAAGAAATATATATAAAATCAATTAGCTAAGAGGGGAAGCAACTCAAACGTCCACCAATGGATGAATGCATAAACAAAATATAATATATACATATAATGGAATATTGTCCAACTGTCAAAAGGAAGTCCTGTCACATGCCAGTGTCAATGAACTTTGAGGACATCATGCTAAGTGAAATAAGCCTGTCACAAAAAGGCAAATACTGTCTGATTCCACTTATTTGAGGTATCTAAAGTAGTCAAGTTCAAAGACACAGAAAGTAGAACAGTAGTTGTCAAGGGGTTCAGGGTAGGAAGAATAGGGAGTCATTTACTGGAGGAGAAAATGGGTTAGAAATGGCTTAGACACAACGGTGACTCTTTGAAGGCATTTCTATTGATTACTAATTTTATGACTGCTGTGGTTTTTCATAATTTATTTTTTTAAATCTAGAGACTGAACTAAACTACCAATCATAGAGCTCTCTAAGGACAACAGCTAACTGGGCAAGCAGCCAAATCAGTAATTTTAATTTTAGAATGTAGACGTTTTGCAAATTAAAAGAACTCTACACTCCTGGGTAGAGTTTCAGTTTTGCAAGATGGAAAAGGTCTGGAGATTTGTTGAATGACAACGTGAATATATGATACTTAACAGTAGTAAACAGTAAACAAAAATGGCTAGAATGGTGAATTCTATATTGTATGTATTTTACACAAATTAAAAAAAATTAAAAATCACTGCCAAATATCTAGTCGGTACTCAATGAATGTGTGAAAAATCCAAGCGGCCTCATTTCTCAAATTAACAATGAGAGAAAGATCACAAAGGAGAGAAAGCCCTGCAAATATAACTGAACACTTAGATTAAAAATTGACTGTCCATGATTGAAGAGGAATTTCATATTAGCATATGAAATGATGACACAGTTTGGGTTCTTTAATTTTCTAAGAGTTAAACAATTATAATTTGGGATGCATTTTAATAACTTCCACCTAAGGCCTATAAACTTATTTTATTATAAAATATAAGGAGTGGAGGGAAAGTCTAGGCCTTAATTGAAGGCAGCATCAGAAATAATAAATCTGGTTTAAAATATCACCACCGGCAATTTTTTTTTCTTAATTCAATTCTGCATGGAAGCACTAGCTTTATGAGGCTAAGATGACATTGACCAAGCTAAGTTACTAGTCCCTCAATTCAGTTGTAGGCAGAGCTCTATGCTGGCTCCAGGCAGGGAAAACACAAGACAAGGAGATGGAGTCTGGGTCCTCTGGAATTTACAGCTTATTTGGGAGCAGAACCTAGACATACAGGCATGCGGGCACATACATACACATGCACGCACACACACACACACACACACACACATAAACACACACATGCATATGCACACACACATATGCATACATACATACATTACATCTAATGAAATATTCACATAGCATAATAAATGACTATGCCAATGGTAAAACTAGGTATATAAATGAGGAGTAGTGCTGGGCATGGTGGCTCACGCTAGTAATCCCAGCATTTTGGGAGGCCAAGGTGGGCGGGTCACAAGGTCAGGAGTT